GTTTATATTTTAACAAACATTTATATTTAAAGTAATCCATTCGTTCTACCGTTTTATCTATTTGAAATAACAAATAAAAATAAGTTTAAAAAAATTCTGAGTGGGTCAGCATTACCGAATGTCGACCCTAATTACGAGGGCTGCATATAACTATATAATCATTAGTAAAGATAAAATATTTCAAGTTTCTTATTCCAAACCTTATTTAAAAAATGATTTAAATAAACTTAGTTTTAGTTTGTTTAGTTTTAATTTAGTGAAGATATATTTTATTTTTTTGTGTTTTATTTTTAGTTAAATTTTTTTTTAATTTCTCTTCCAACTGTCTCTAGAATATTTGACAGATCCTTTACATGTTCAAACATGTTTTTATAAAACATGTTTAAACTAATTTTAAAACTAATTTTAAAAATTTTATAAGATCTTGCTTTTTTTGAGTATTAAGTTGAAACATCATGAAAGAAATTTTTTTTGGATGATGAAAACCTTTTGTGTCAACATTGTGCATATTTTTTAGTAACTTTGCATTAAAGTATAATTTTATTGTATTTAGAAATATGTTTTAGCATACTCTTGCAAAAGTGATATAACTTCAGGTTCAACTTAAATTGTTAAGTATTATAAAAGCTTATTACTATTTTTTTTCCTTATTGTCAATTTTAGAAGACAGTTATTTCTTATTTATAAACGAAAACACAAGCAATCCAAGGAAGTGCGTGCGGTCACACACCTGGTTCGTCCACGTTTACAGTGTGTAATAGGTGTTGACTCGCCCATAAGTTGCTATCTGTATGTTTGTGTTCTGTATGAACCTCTATTGCAGTGTTGGCTCACCGGTAAGTTGCTATTTGTATGTTTGTGTTCTGTCTGTTTATGTTTATATGTATGTTTATATTCTGTCTTAACCTCTTGTGCAGTGTTGGTTGACCTGTAAATTACTTTATGTATGTATGTGTTCTGTTTAAATGTTTAAATGTTCTGTTTAAGTGTTTAAATCCGTTTTGATGCAGTGTGAGCTCATTAACTAAATAAACACTCTAACTATAAAACCTGGGCTCTCCTTCTTATCTCTAGTATTTTGTTAGATATAACATTTTTGCTAATGCATTTTCAAAAAATCATGCCTGATGTTTTAAAGTTCTGTTTGCTGAAAATAGCTCCTTTTGATTACTCTGGGTCAGGTCAGATTCAGGATCATCACAATCACCCTACTACTGGTATTATGTAACTCTGCCTTAGGGCTCTAGGTTGAGTAAATGCTAGAGATGGTGTCTTGATAAAAATACTCATCTTAGGCAGATGTTAACTGCAACCAGTTACTGTCTTGTAGGAAGCCTCCTAGACAAAGACTTTAGGGGAAGGCGGAATAGTTCTGCTAACTAGCCTTGAACCCCTTCTTTATCTATAAGGCTGGCATAGATATAAACCTGTGTTACATTGTTTCCTGCCAAGGATGTTGAGTGCTAGATCTTTTTTGACTCTTCTCATAGGTTTTTTGCTTGTGCCTCCTTAATAGTGGCTATGCAACTTTTCCTGTTATCTCTGGGTACAGCTCTAAAAATCAGTTTAATGGTTCTTAGGCTGGCTGGTAGTAAGATTTTGCGAACTCTGTGGTAGCTCTCAGAGAAGCTGACTGCATTAACAGCTGCAAAATATCAGAGTATTAACATTGCCATGTTGCTCATGGATGGTGTCCCTGTTAATGCTTCTCGTCTGCATTGTCAAGGCTACATAAGGAGCCCTATGTTTTGACTTAAAGGTAATTAACAGGACTGAGAAAATTGCATAGCTCATTGCTTAGGAGGCCAGGCTCTATCTATGAACGAGTCAAGCTCCTTTAAACTTAAACCATGCTAAAAGTAACTCAAAATATTAAACATAAAAAGTCATCCCCACCACCTAACTGTTTTAATATATTTTTACTAATATTTTTAGTCTGCGAAGCAACCTTCTATCAGATGAATCTTATCTATTGCAAAATTCACCAGACTTGCTTGTTCTAGTAGAATAGTTTAAATTCTGTTATTCCTTCTTCTTATCTCAGTGTTGATGTTTACTATCCTTTAATAGTCACATGCTTGGCTTAAGGGTATGCATATGCATACCTTTAAGCCATTAACCTATTTGTCGTGAAATCAGGTTCAAATCCTTTGATCATTCTTTTATGTGCTTCCACTTATCACCATTCTCTTTGTTCATTATCACACTCTTTTTCCCCAAAACTGCACTATTTTAGATGTAATTTCTGATCAAATTGACCATGCCATCTTTTATAACCCTATATTACTGTTATTGGTGACTTTAATGTTTATCACACTGAATGGCTTGGCTCTAACACCATTGACCCTGCTGGCACTAAAGCCTGAAACTTCTGTAATTTTTTGTGACTCATTTTCCTGACAACCATTAATAATAATAATCATTTACTTTCACTCCTTGATTTGTCTGGTCACTAATCATAGCTTTTGTTCAGTTTCTCCTTTTTCTCCTTTAGATATTTTTACCCTCTTGTGCAACTGCTATCTCTAATCGTAATTAGCTTTTTCAAAATAAAAACTCTCTGGAGAACTATTTATTATTGCAAGAAATCAATGTAAAAAGGTGCTGTCAGATGCTAAGCTTTTCTCAGTTCACCAAATCTTGCATTTTATCTCAGAAGTTAGGCTCTAGAGACTTTTGGAAAATCTTCAACAGCGTTGTTAACAAAGGATGGTCTAACATTACATCTACCATTCATGGGACTTATCTTATAACCTCGCATAAGGATGAGGCAGAACTATTTACAAAGAACTTCTTTGCAAAGTATTTTTTTCTAATTCGACTCTTGAATCTTACAAATATTCTCTTCCTTCCATTCCAATTAAACAGGTTAGACATTCATTGTTAGACATTCAAATCACTCTAGTTTTTTAAAAACCCTTTGATAAAACAATATCTCAATTTAGCTCTTTTATGGCTTGTGATCCAGACAGTATTCCTGTCATAGTTTTACAAAATTGTTCTCCAGAACTCTCTTCAATTCTCTCTAAACTATTTAATAAGTGTTTGACTGAGTCTTGTTTTCTTGCAGGCTGGAAAATGGCATCTGTTGTTCCAATTTTCAAAAACTCTGGTGAACATTTTGACCCCTCAAATTATCGTCCAATAAGTCTTCTTTCTGTTATTAGCAAGGTCTTTGAGTCTTTGATAAACAAATTTCTTACATCCCATCTTGAGTTAAATAACTTACTGTTAGACAATAAATATGGTTTTCTATCTTCTCGGTCTACGGCTGACTTGTTAACTGCTATGATAGAAGGATTTTATCATGCATAAGATGGAGGCGGAGAGGCTAGGGCTATTGCTCTTAACATATCTAAGGCTTTCGACAAAATTTGGCATGCTGGTTTTCTCCATAAGCTTGGTTCATAAGGTGTATCTGTAAAAATTTTGAGATTATAAAACCATTTCTTTCTAACCGCTTCATTAAAGTCATCCATGGAGCCCAAAACTCTTCTCTATTTACAATAAAATTTTGGAGTACCTCAAAGTTTTATCCTTGGTCCTGATTTATTTCTTTATCATTTATTTGATGAATGGAAACCCTCTCATTGAGTCCTCTTCTTTACGTCTTCTTTGATTTTCATTTACTACTGGTCTTTCATGGAGACCATATATACAGTTGATTGCTAGGTTAGCATCTGCAAATGTTACTTCTCTTTATTGTGCTCACCATTTTCTCTCTCCTGATTCCTTTCTCTACCTCTATAAATGTCTTATTCATTCCTTTACGGAATACTGTTTTCATATTTGGGCTGGTTTTTCTAATGATGCCCTTTCTCTTCTAGACAAGGTCAAAAACACATTGTAAATGTAGTTAGACTTGCTCTACCTGCTAAGCTTGAGCTTCTTTCCCATTGTTGAAAAATTGCATCTCTTTTTCTTTTCTACAAATATCATGGTTGCTGCTCAAAGGAGCTATTATCTCTAGTTCTATAAACTAAAACTTAATCTTGCTTGACTCATCATTAAGAAAAGTCTCATTCTTTTACTGTATCTGTTCCTGCAAGCTCTAAAAACTTTTATTTGCGCTTCCCGGGAAAGCTTGAAAATATGTTTTTAAAACATAAATTATTAAATCATTATTATATCTGCATTATTTTGAAACCAAGTATCAAAATATAACTAACACAAAGACAGGTGGTTCAATGAACTAGGTGATTTGATGTAGGATTACCCTACTGATAAAAAATTACTTTGATTTTATATTTAATATATTCTAGTATGACATAAATAACATTTGGCACTTTCAGCAATAAACTAAAAAGCTGTCTCATTCCTCCGAGTAAACTGAAAGTCATAATAAAAGCTTCATGTGCCGCCTCAATAATGCACTGTTAATGCACTGATATTTTCCATCAACATTACACTGTTAATGCACTGATAATTTACAGCTGCTAATGGAATCAGTCCCCCAACCCCTGAGAGCAAACACTGTGTTCAAAAAACCATGCAACTAGTCTACCTCAGAACTATTCAAATGATTTTTAGAGCTGTATGCTGTGTTCATTATTTTAGGCAGGAAACAATGTAAAACTGGTTAACATTATTAGATAGATAGCTAATCTATGAGATAAAAGGATTAGATAAACACATAAAGTATAAATTTGATTTATTGGAGTTTTTGTTTTGATCAAAAAATGGTTGATCTATTAAATAAAATGGTCTACATAAAATTATAAAAATAAAGTTTAAAAAATATTTTTTTAATTTATTACTTTTCTAGAAAAAAATTTTTTTTCATACTTATAAAATTTTTTTTTTTAAATTTTAAAATTTAAAATATTATAAAAGTCATGAAAGTAAGGTCGAAACATTATGCACTTAAAAATAACAACAACAATAATAATAATAGCAATAATAATAATAACAATAATAGTAATAATAGAAATATATAATAATAACACAATCAATATATAATAATAACACAATAAATGCGTAGTACAAAAATTTAAGATTACCAAGTAATTGCTTTTCTTCATACTTCACTAAACACATTTCTTTAATTGCTTCATCCATTGATTCTGGAAAATCTCCTGGAAGCCATTCCCTACCTTTCTCAAGAAGACAAACACTTTTACCAGCACGAGCCATTCGGCTAGCAGCAACTGCCCCTCCATAACCTGATCCAATAACAACAACATCATATCGAGATTTAATTTGATTGATTGGTTTACCAACTGGAGTATACTAGATAAAAGTCAAAGGTCTAAATGCCTGAACAATATAAAAAAAAAAAATTTCTAGAAGATATTGTAAATAACTAACTTTGTATTGTATATATGGTGATTGACTTCCAGTACAGTTTCCCATACTGATTTTGTTTAAAGCTGCAGAACTTACATAACATTTGTTTTCAAAAGCAATTTCAACATAAAATTCACAAATATAATATTTTGCTTTTAATATCTAGCTATTTTAATAAAAGTAAACATATAAAATGTAAAAATTACAATCAAATTTAGTAAATGTTAATATTTGATAAAGAAAATATTGATTAAAAAAATATTTAAAAAATTATTTTTATAATTATCAAGATTTTATATTTTAACCAATGTTTATAGTTCAATTTTGTAAGATTATTTTTAAACCCTAAAGCTGATACAGCATTGACTATTTTATTATCAAATTATTTACAGTTTTAACAATGCTATATTAATGAAAACTGTAAATAATTTGATCATGAAAAATGATGTTTTTGTAGAAAGTTGTCAATTGTCTCTCAACTTTTATTTGTCATGTTGCTGGTAATGATGCTGATTAATCCCGTATTTGTTTATTACTAAGATGGATAAGATTTTAACATCTACTTTATAGATTTTGTATGTAAATTTTTATAAAAAATCATTTGATGATCTGCTCCAGATATGGCTACAGTATTCCTTACAAGGTTGAATTAGATAGAGACAAAGAAAAAAATCCGGAGTAAGTAAATTACAAGCACGATAAAGAATTGCAATATTTGCAGATGCTAATTTTGCAATGGATTTATATATGGATGTATGGTTTCCAAGAAAGATAAGAGTTAATTCTAAAAGATGAAGGTTAGATGACTTATCAAGCACATTACCATTCATAAATATATATAATAATGTTCTTGATATTCCACAAGGATAGAGAACTTTTTTTATTTGCTTTAATTATCATTATTTTAATATGCTTTTCTTGTTTTAAGTCATTCAAAAAATAAACACTTAAATTTTCTTCATATACATATATATATATATATATATATATATATATATATATATATATATATATATATATATATATATATTTAATAGGGCTGTACCGGATTTCGGCTCCGGCTCCTGCTCCGGCCAAAATACCGCCATTTTTACAAATCCAGCCCAAATCCGGCTCCGGCAAAAATTTAGCAAATCCGGCATTTTAGCCGGAGTTTTGAATTTTGTAAAATATTTATTACATTTTTTTTGCCCGTGTTTACATGTATACCTAATATTTTATTTATAAAAATCAATTTTTTTTTGTAATTCTATATTTTATGAACCTCATATTTGTTTTGGTATTTGTATTTATATTTCTTTATAATTTAATAAGCTTAGTCTAATTTCAAACAACAACGCAACAAAAAATTCTTAAGGGAAGACACACGATATTCGACAATGATGCAGGTATAAAGACTATGATGTCAACCCTAATCAAGTGATTGGAATTGAAAGTGAGCGTTTTAAAAGCATTGAAAAAAGAAACCTCTTTATTTACTGATGAGGCTGGTTGGCTCACAATTTAAAACTAAATTCTCCTCATTATAGGCAACATTGACAGCTGAAAAAACAAGATTGAAGTCAATCTGAGCATGCTGAACAGAAGATTGACAAAACTGAAGAAAATTCACCAAAATAAGCCGGGCTTAAAAATTTTTCTACATCATCATCATCATTACTCTGGCAATTTATTGATAAAATTATTCAATCTACGTCCGCTGGTGGCAGGGCACATAAACAGCAATTACTAAAAGGCATTGAAACTCAGCTAAGGAAATATCCGAAAGAACCAGAAATAAATAGACACAATGATCCACTTCAGTGGCGGAGTGACAAAATCCCGGAAAAAAAGTTCAATAGAATAAATATAAACTTTTAAAACATATGGCCTATAGAATTTCTTTAGAATTTCTATTAATTTATATATAGAAATTGCTATAAAACTTTTTAAATAACAACAATGAAGTTTAACAGAAAACAGCAGTCACTTGGTATTCTGAATAGTTCACATTGTTGACCATGCTCAACACCAAGTAGGGATGTACAGGATTTTGGCTCCTGTAGTTTTGTTTTGAAATCCGGCTCCGGCTCCGATTCTGGCCGGATCTGTCAGTAGAAATCCTGCAAATCCGGATTTGAAAAAATTTGAAAAAATTAAATCCGGTACAGCCCTAATATTTAATAATCACTTAAATTTTGTTCATATACATATATATATATATATATATATATATATATATATATATATATATATATATATATATATATATATATATATATATATATATGATCTATTAAATAAAATGGTCTACATAAAGTTATAAAAATAAAGTTTATATATATATAATATATATATATATATATATAAATAAATATATATATATATATATATATATATATATATATATATATATATATATATATATATATATATATATATATATATATATATACATATATATATATATATATATATATATATATTATATAAATATAATATATATATATATTATATAAATATATAATATATATACATATATATATATATATGTATATATATATATATATATATATATATATATATATATATATATATATATATATATATATATATATATACTTGTATTATATATATATATATATATATATATATATATATATATTATGTATATATATATATATATATATATATATATATATATATATATAATACTTGTATTATATATATATATATATATATATATATATATATATATATATATATATACTTGTATTATATATATATATATATATATATATATATATATATATATATATATATATATATATATATATATATTATTATATATATATAAACTTTATTTTTATAATTTTATGTAGACCATTTTATTTAATAGTTCATATATATATATATATATATATATATATATATATATATATATATATATATATATATATATATATATATATATACTTGTATTATATATATATATATATATATATATATATATATATATATATATATATATATATATATATATATACTTGTATTATATATATATATATATATATATATATATATATATATATATATATATATTATATATATATAAACTTTATTTTTATAATTTTATGTAGACCATTTTATTTAATAGTTCATATATATATATATATATATATATATATATATATATATATATATATATATATATATATATATATATATATATATATATATATATATATATATATATATATATATATATATATATTATATATATATAAACTTTATTTTTATAACTTTATGTAGACCATTTTATTTAATAGATCATATATATATATATATATATATATATATATATATATATATATATATATATATATATATATATATATATATATATATATATATATATATATATATATATATATATATATATATATATATATATAACATTTAAATAGTATAAATATCTGAATGCAACAGTATCTTTATTTAAAAGTATTTTTATATAAATATAATAGTATTCAAATATGAATTAAATAGCATTTAGATCTAAATATATTAGTATAAAGGTCTAAACATAATAATGTTCAGTAATAAATTTAATAGTATTTAAAAATAAATAAAATAATATTTAGTAATAAATTTAGCATTTAAAAAAATAGTATTTATTTCAAATAATATTTGGGTCTAAATAAAATTATTTGGATTACAGGTTGAAACAATTTCTTTCAATTTAGTATTATTCACTCAAGTAAATTAATTAATTAAATAATAAAACTGAAATTATTTGTTAGCTATTAAAAGTACTAAAATTGAAAAATACTAGGTTTTATTTAATATCGTAATTAATAATATTCTGATCCAAATAAGTGAATTCAAACCTATATTAAGTAAATAGAGGCTAGCAGTAGCTTTAACACCATAAAAACATTTGGAAAGTTTTAGACAAAAGAAAATTTAGAAAGTTTTCTAGACAAAAAATAATACAAATGTTTTAAAAAAATACGGTGAAACTTAAATAACCCCGTGTAAACTTGCAATAAAACACGTTTTATTTTCAACGCGTTTTAAAGTATTATTGTAAAAAGCTTTAATCAAACGATATAATATCGTTCGTTTGTATAAAAAAATTTGTTTTTTCTTATAAAAAGTTTGTGTTAATATAAAAAATACTATATCATATTGCATTATTAAATTGCTTTATTACTACTTTTTAAGTTATTTACATTACATTATCAGTATGAACGGAGCCTGTCTATATATGTTCAATAGCCCATCCCATTTTGACCCTCATGAACAAGTTTTAATACGCGGAGTGTCGTATAATATTCCCAAGGTATAGTTTTCTTAATGAAATTTTTTTACTTTTTATTTTAGTCAAGACCGGCGCGATGGGGAGAAGTGTGTGGGGTGTGTGGGGGTGTGTGACACCCCCCCCCCCATCAATGATTTTAGTCGGCAAATTTGACCCTTTTTGACTAGTTAGTAAACCCTTTCGACAGGTTAGTCGGTAAGTTTAGACAGTTTGTCAGCAAATGGCGTTATGGCAGTCGGAGGGCAGTCGGCAAATTTTAAAAAACGAGGACTTTATTTAGTCGGCAAAAGTTGTTTTGGTACCCTACCCCATCCCCCCCCCCCCACGTGACACCTACTAGCGCCAGCCCTGATTTTAGATGAATTTTAATTCTCGCGCCACTCTTTTAAAATTTAACTATTAAAGGTTAAAAAATAGTAAGATAAAGATAAAACTGCCTCACTTTAAAATATCATTTTGCAAAAACAAAATGAATAAATTTCTCATTTAAAAATTATTTACATATAGACTTCTGAGAAGTGCAGAGACTATTGTGAACTTGCGGGAAAAAATCAGACCATTATGTGAAAATTAACAAATATGGAGCTGTTTCTCGCGCATTGAATATCACGAAATTCAAGTTGCGTTTTTTTAAAATCAGGTTTTTATTCTAAATAATAAAATACTCAAAGAGATCAATAGAACGGCTGACTACATTTCTCTTTCCATTGAATGCGGTTTTTAACCTGCGACTTTTTTGATTCTGCAATTTTTAAAGCAAAACTTAATTTCATAAGTTTGGATATTTTAGTCTTATTTTTTAAGAATAATTTATGTCATAAAGTAACAAATTGTTTAAAAACTATGGCTATGTAAAATACAAAGAAAATAACTCTAAACCAATTTTTTTTACTAATGACAGACTTTTTTTTAAATCAATAGAAATATGATAAAAATGAAATCAATAGAAAGAGCACTTTGATTTTATCTTTTCAAAAATAAATGGAATAAGTTTTTAGCAATGTCATTTTAAACCTTATTTTATTTACATTGCATTATTTCGTTAAGCGAATAATTAAATAAGGCGAACAGTACTATGCGCTTAACGAATAGTACTATTCGTCTAACATATAGTACTATTCGTAATTTCACCTCTGCAGCAGGCTCAGCCAATAGTCTTGTTGATCTTAAAAGTGTATATTAAAAATTATGCAATAATACTATTCGCTTAACAAATAGTACTTTTCGCTTAACGAATAGTACTATTCGCTTAACGAATAGTACTTTCTGTAGTAACGAATAGTAATTTCAGTAGTAAATAAAATAACACAAAGATAATGTTTTGATGCAATCAGAGATAATGTTTGATGATATCTAATTTGTTAATAGATAAAAATTAAGTTGTTTTTAATCTTTTTTTAGACAACTAAAATAAAATTGAAAATGTCAGGTGATAAATTATTTCAATCTTTGTTAAAATATTTTATACTAAACCGTTTTTGTTTTATTTGTCGATAATGTATTAAATTATGTGGAACTTAGTGTCACTATGTACTAATAGTTTTTAATACTATTGATGGTGTTCTTTTGAGTAGTCGATTTGCAATTTTTAACAATTTCTGTTGTGTGATTTTAAGTTGTACATTTGTTCTGACCTTTTTAGAGAAAGGCTTCGCGTTTGCCTCCTAGCAACACTACGCATCAAATACTCAAAAGATACCTTATAATACAAAAAATGTAAGCCCATTGAATTTTTTTACAAAAACATTTCGTTGGGGATTGTGCAAATCCCCGTAACTAGTAATGAACGGCGTATCAGCACAACATATAGTTTTCCAGAAGAAAGTTAAAACTTTTTTTTTGATTCAAAACAGATTTTTGGATCATTTGTGGCATAGAAAATTTCATTCATGTTCTTTGTAATGTCAACAATGAATATTAGGTGTTAACAAGGCCGGCGCGATACTCATCAATGATTTTTAGTCGGCAAACTGGACCCTTAGTCAGCAATTTGGACCCTTTTAGACTAGTTGGTCGGCAAATGTCGACCCTTTCGATATAGGTTAAACAGTCGGCAAACTTTGGAAAACGAGGACTTTTTTTTTTTTTTTTTTTTTTTAGTCATTAATATTTGTCAGGTACGTTTAAAAATTGGTATACACTATTTACCGATTTAGAGTTAATAGTTGTTTTTTACGTTGAGTTTTTAAAGCGGCTATTAATAAATAATTAGATTCGATTTGATTTAATTAATGTTTAAAATTCATTAGTATTTATTCTGTCTAAAACTTTGATATTTTTACCTAGAATTGAGATATGCGGAAATAGAATACTTTATATAGATCGTGATTTTTTTGTGACTACTTTTTACTAGTTTGTACAATTGTTAAAAACTTATTAACTTATCAAACTTATCACTTCGATTACAGCTTTCAAAAAAAGTGCATTTCAATTACATTTTATCATACATCTTTGTTACACTGTTTAAAGATTTTTTTAAAAAATACCTCGGAAAATAACGTAGTAATAATTTTAAAATTAATAATACACTAAAAACTGAAGGATGCAATGATAAATAAAATGTAAAAATTAGGATGAAATGAGATTTTGAAGGGAAAAAAGTTGATTCATGGTATCATATAATGTCAACAAAATTAACAAAGATCACTTAAATGAAAACAAATTTGATTAATTGAATGATCATAAGAATTAGACAATTATAACAAATAGTAATACAATTATAAATAATTAATACAATTATACAATATAGTTTAATTGGGTTCTTCACGCATAATAAATCTTTACTTTTTTAATTAGAGTGCAAGATGATGGTTCAAAAAGAAAGTTTTTAACTAAATTATACTATCGTGAATTAATTGACGCAGAACAAACTAATAGATTTTGGTTAATTTACTCGAAGTTGGAAGATTGCGTATTGTGTTACTCTTGTAAATTATTCTGGGTAAACTACCCATGCTAACTATGAAAAAAAAGCAAATGAAATAAGACAAAAAGCAATAAATTTGATCTAGGCAGCGAAGTATATAACTGTCGTTATGGATTGTACAATCGTAATGAGCAACTTAAAATTCTCATACATACACGTGTGGAGGAAAGTAATAAACCTAATCCAGCCATAAAATAATACTTTTTAGACTTCATAAATTTTAATTCTACTACTGGATTAAATTTATCTGAAATTCCTGTTAAATAATTAGGATTAATTAGTATAAATGTTGAAGACTGTATAGATCTGGCTATAAAAATAGGTCAAATATGATTGGAAAATACCAAGGATTTAATTCCAAAAGTATAAGGATGCAAATAAGTATTCCAAATATAAGTTTAGAGCCTTTTTTTATACCATGTGCATGCGCATGGTGTAAAAAAGTGCACTATGAAGTGAACAAAAAAATGTAAGCTGCAGGCACTCCATAGTTTAAATTAGTTCTCTGCGATGCTGTCGAAAATACTACAAGGGAAATTTTTTTTTTAATTTATTTCAGGTACCCCAAGCAGTCCTAACGGTCTTATCACAGAGCGCCGCGGAAGAGCATTTGAAAGGAAGTTCACGCCTCTTTTCCTTACCAATGCAACTCTACAAGATACTGATACAACTCTGGGCAAGTTTTATAACATATTTTATTAAACTTGCTCAGAGTTGAGCCACGGATCTCCAGTTATGAATTTATTCTTAGCCTTGTTATTTGGTATCCATATTTAAAAAAAGGTGAAGTACCTTTAATCCCAGAATATGGAAATATTATATTTTTTAAAATATAATACAATTTTTTTATATAATTGGGGTGACTATTTTTGAAGCGAGTTTATTTGCTAATTTTTTTGTGAATTTGTTTATAATAATTAATTTAATTATAGAATAATAGGATTCAATTCTGCAAAAAAATATAACGAATAAGAAACAGACGCTCCAATTATTTTGTCGTTGTTTAAGAAAGAAAAAATAAATCTTTAATTATAAACATGACGATGAACCAATTTCAAATGATCTTTTTTGTATTGACTATTTTAAGTTATTGTTAATCAAGCAATAATAGAATTTATTATAAAATGCACAAGTAAATCCAAATAAAATCATTTTTTATTTGGATTTTCTTGTTCATTTCCGTTAGTTGCAACTATCAAATCAAGAATTGTGTAACGTCTAACGCATTGCAATTGACAGCTATAAACCACAGGATAACCATAGAACAAAAGTTTTAAGAACTTGGCTGATGGGTGCGAACAGTATTCATTCCTCTATTAAGCGGACTCTTAAGAACAAAATACATGTTAAATGGGCTCTTAAAGACAAAAGATGCCATATTATAATGAGATTGAAAAAAATAATATGTCGTATTTAGATGCATTAAATTTAATTTTAAAAAAGTGTTATAGGAATATAATATTAAGTATAAAAAAAGTTTTTTCAAAATGTTATTATATTACAAAAACCTGTTATTGTTAAAGGTGTTACCTAATAAATAAATTTACTTTTTTTTAAGTCTTAAAAATGTCTTCTTTTATTTTATACTGTATATACTATCGGCGTCAAGCACTAAAGAATTTCAGCTAGGATTTTCTTTTTGTATTTCCTACATTTAAAAATATCATTTGAATAAATAGAGATAAAATATGATTAAATCTTGCAAATTTTATAAAATAACTTAAAAAATAAATGTATAATGTAAAATGAATATTTTCACTTTAATTTCTAAGAACATACTTTCTTTACTAAAGCTTCAGTATCTACTAACGATGCATTTTGAAGAAGCTCAACAGTTTCTACTTCACTAATGAATGTTACTTCTTTTTTCTGCCAAATAATACATCCAATCAAAGCATGCAAAGCCTCAAAAGCCTCACCGGTCAAAGACAGATCTGTGATATTGGTTTTTTTTTTTACTTTGTAAGTAAGGCCACTTAAAGCTTGTTGCAGGAGATGTCGATTTCCACTTTTACTATTCCATAATTTTATAAGATCTTTAGCTGTTTCTGCATTAAAATGCTTTAAAAGGTTCACTTTGAATATCAAATTATCCGATGAGTCATCAAGCTCCTCAAAGATTTGTTTGCCAAAATTATAGTTGATTTCAATCACAAAAGAGTCTGCATAAGATAAAAATTGATGATGCTTTAAGTACCGAAATCCCAGGAAACACAGCAGGTTTTTTATACCATAAACATCTGGTAAACATAATTCAGCACAAACCATTTTAATTACTTGAAGCATATGAAACAACATAACTTCATTTTTATCAAGCAAATTTAAAATTGATGTATTGATAATAGTTTCATAAGGCTTTGTGCCTATCGTTTTTAATATTTGTTTCCACAGCCGTTTTAGAATGTTTATTCTTTCTTTAGTGTATTCAGTACACAAGCTCAACACTATATCCTTTGATAATTCTCTATGATTAGTTAAGGTATAACTGACCATCTTCTGTATTACAATATTGTTCATTTCAGAATTTGATTGTGAAGCATAGCACTGATTTAAAGTTAAAACATCAAAACTAAGCGATTCATCATTTAATTCTACACCAGCTAAAAATAATAACTTTATTGGAAATCGCTTGCTTTCAGACTTTAGAGCGCTTTGGTAACATAAATTATTATGAATTGAAGCCCAAAAGTTTTTTTTATTCTTGAACAAATTTTTTTTTAACTGGACTATACCAGTTTCAGAATAAAAACTATATTCTAGGCATGCATTTTTTTTTCCTGAATCACTACATTCTATTTGATCTTTATAAAAACTTTGTGTGGTAAATGGAAACAACCTTAGATCTGTTTTTGAACTAACATATTTCCACATCTTTACATAGTTTCTAGCTAAAAGGTATTCTTTTAAAAGGTTACACACTTCTTGATTTAGGTATTCTTGAGTCAATACCTTGATAATATTTCTACAAACTTGCTTATCGTTTAAATGAATTACCACAATATGCAAAATAGATAAACGAGTAGCTACATCTGAGCAGCAAAACATCTCAAATAAAAGAGAAGTGCTTATTTGAAAATTGAATATTTTTTGAGAACAAATATCAAAAATATTTGTACTGTCAATTAAAGATAACAAAACATTTGAAGATGATTTTATTTTTGGAAAAAACGGCGATTTACAGTTAACCAAAATATTATGAACTGGTTCATGCTCATAACTTATATCAAGTAAATGGAAAAATGACTTATAAGCATAAACAAGTACAAAGTCATTGTACAATGTAAAACAAATATGTTGAGAGGAGCCACTCACATTAAATGTCGAGCAATCCAATTTGTATCCAGAATGTATGCAGCATATAGCATAACTAATTGTCTCTATTTCACTTGAAGAAATGCAACTTTCACTACTATTTAGTTGGTTATTTTTTGATTGTTGATAGCATATATATAATGAACCATCAGACTGTAAAACACGCATATTAAAAAATGAGTACGATACAATATCAGTATAAAGAAGATTATTGTAAACATCTTTTAACTGCATGAATTCCAAATTGAATTCTAAAGGTAAACTGAAATTAAACACTAAATGAAACTTTCCATGTTCGTCAAACTCTACAGCATTAAATATTCCTTCTGAAGCTGAATCATCCTCATCTGAAGGATTTAGGTCAACATAAAACAACCTATTAAATTTAAAATCAAACTGAGCCCAGATAAATCTAGATGCAACTGAAACAACTGATAACTCTGCACTTTTTAACAGATCATCTTTTCCAGTTGTTGCAGGAATTCGATATAAACTTATTGTTTCTCTGTGATGAAAAAAAAGTAAATGTGAAACCTTACAAGTTTTGCTACTATCTTTTAAAAACTGTACCTTCTGGTAAACTTTCCATTTTATATTTAAAGAGTATAAATTTCTTTGAGGGTGAATTTCAGAAATGTAAGAGCAATATAAATTTTCAGAATTGCATTTTTTTTCTATGCACGAATAAGCAAGTAATTTTGAACTACAGTTGATAGAAGCATTAATAATAAAAAGTATATTTTGATGAGTAAAAATTATTTCTGACAAACGTGAATCTCGTTTGAATACTCCAATAAATGTTTTTGAATGGCATAGTTCTTCACAGTTCCAAGTAAATAAATACAAATTATTATCTTTGACTCCAATTACACGTGGTGAAATATTTGTGAAAGATTCCTCCTCGAGATTTTTTTTTGTGTGTTTGTGTGATTCAATGTATGTTTTTGTGAGTCGTCGAGCGCAATTTTCAAGTTCATCTTGTAAATTCACCACCTCTATAATATCAAACATAGAAGATGGAAATGTCAAGCTGAAAAATTTATTACTTCCCCAATAAACAATTTGCGAAATGACTATCACGACAATTGACAACTACAACTAATACCCAATTCAACGCGGGGCATGAAACCTTGAGTCTTAGGGTCGTCCATAAAGTACGTACGCTTTTTTTTCGTACCCCCCCCCCCCCTCGCAATTTGCCGTACGCTTTTTTAGAAAAGCGGTATAGTATGGAAAATTAACTGATCGAAATGATTAGTATCGAAAAATAACTGACCGAAACTCATTTTAATGATTAAGATCCAAAATGTGATTTTCAGATTAATATCAAGAAGTTTTTATATTGAAATTTACAAATGTGGAACAATATCGAAAACATTAAAAACAGAATAAGATCAAAAAAATATTTAACTGATTAACAACGAAAATGCGAATTTCAGATTAATGTCGAAAACAATAAAAACGGAATAAGATCAAAAATTTATTTTAATGATTAACATCAAAAACGTGATTTTCCGATTAATGTCGAAAAAAATAAAAACAGAATAAGATCGAAAACACATTTTGATGATCAACATCAAAAATGTGATTTCGATTTTATTCCTTTTTTCATAATTCCAGAAATTCCCGTTACGATATTGTTCTTTTTTTCACAATTTCGATGTAATTCCGTTTTTTGAATTTTCGATACTATTCCTTTTTTAACAATTTCGATATATTCTCTTTTTCGATATTATTCCGAAAAGTCCCTTTTCGATATTATTCTTTTTTTCCCAATTTCGAGATTATTCTATTTTCTGATTTTCGATACAATTCATTTTTTTACAATTTCGATGTTATTCTCTATTTTGATGTTATTCAAGAAATTCTCTTTTCGAGATTAATCAGTTTGGCTGTTTTCGATACTTTTACTGCTACCCGCTTTTTTGAGTACTCTCTACCTTCCTAAAAGTATCTACGTTTTTAACCTACTAACCCAACATTTTATGATATTTTTTTTAATTTAGTGTCTTCATACTTTTATAATTGACCTACTGCCCCCTTATCTCAGAAACGCCATTTGCAGACCTCCTCTTCTTCTCCAAGCGTACGTACTTTATTGACGATCCCTTAGAGTTTGCTAATTCTAACATCCACTAAAAGATTTTAATAAATTATATACATCTCTAAAGTTTCATCATTTAATTCCGACCGTGCTAAAAAAATATAAACATTTTAACTTTGCCTTAAACCGACACGAGCGGCTAGTTCCTGATCTTAGAAAACAAATCAATCATGGTTAGACTCCGAAATCAATGTCTTCATCTATCATTATACCACTAGATAAATCATATAAAAAGTCCTTGGTAAACTCAAACAACTATCGAGGTATTAGTATAATACCTATTTTTACAAAAATTCTAGAATATCTGATTTTAATAACATGTCCGGAGATCATTAACACTCACCCGGAGATCAAGAACACTCACCCGCTATAATTTGTATTTAAATCTAACTCTTCAACCCTTCATGCAGAATTTGTAATTATCGAAACTATTAAACATTACAATAGTAAAAATTCACCTGTTTATTTATGCTCCTTGGATGTCGAAAAGGCCTTTGATAGCTGTAACTGGAAAATTCTCTTTTATAAGTTGCACTTCGATAAAAAACTACCTTTGCATATAGTTAGGACAATCTTTTCATTATACTATAATAGCAGTGCAATTGCCTCATACCAAGGTTGCAAATCAAATTAATTTTATCTTAAACAAGGAGTAAGACAAGGTTTAATTTTATCACCGTACCTTTATAATATTTATAGCCAGGACCTTCTCAAAACCATTAAAAAAGAAAGTAATATAGGTAAGTCTATGTATGGTAACTTTAGTGGTGTGGTAACGTATGCTGATGATATTACGCGACGTCAAAATTCTTAATACTTTCAAAATACTTTTAAAAAATCATTTTATTATTATATCATCAAGTAATATTATATCTTTATATAATACAATTGATACAATTATATATACAATTAATAAAATTATATATACAACTAATACAATATAATACAATTTTGTATGCAAATACAAGTTCTAATGCATATCGCGACGTTAGAATTATCTTGTTCTATATCCACATTTTTTAGTTTTGAGATAAAACGATTTAAGCGTGGTTATTTTGAAGTTTGAAATTTGAAAAAAAAAAAAACTTTTTTTGATTGTTTGGTATTATTTAAATAAACTAATATAAATAAATATATATTTTTATATATTAACATATTGGTTAATTATGACTATTACAATGGATCAAGTAAAAAAAACGATCTAAAATGTTTAAAGAATTTAAGAACGAAATAGACGAAATGATGAAGCAGCAGGAAAAAAACGTGTTAAATATTTTAAGCGCCAACACAAAAATTATATATTATAGGTTAGATAAAGTAGATCTAAAGGTTAATGATTATGCAAAACATATAAAGACATTAGAAAAAGACGTAGAAGAAATCAAACGAAGCTTAAACTTTCACGAACATCTTTTTGAAGAAAAAATTAAGACCGCAATTGCTTCTCAGGAAAAAAACATATCTGGCATCGATAAGCTAAATCATAGTTCCGACTATGTTAAAATAAAAAGTAAACTAAGAGAGATGGAGGATAGATATCGCAGAAAGAATTTAAGGGTTGACGGATTAAAAGCGAAGGTGGAATGTGGATTGACAGTGAATTAAAAGTCAGTAAAGTTTTTGAAGAGCATTTGGGATTAACAAATATTTGGATTGAAAGAGCTCATAGAACTGTCCAGAGAGATATGAGCAAACCAAGAACAGTTGTAGTAAAACTGTTAGATTATAAAGATAAAGTTGAAATTTAAAAAAAAACATCTGAATTAAAAAAAATATTTATATTAACGAAGACTTTTGCGCCGAAACTGTCACAATTAGGAAAGCTCTACGGCAACAGATGAAGGTTGAACGAGCGGCTGGGGAATATGCATTTATCTTTTACGATAAGTTGGTTATTCGGGATTGGGCTGCAAACAAAAGTAAAAAATTTTCTTTTTAACATATTTACATATTCTACAATTTTATTTTACTTTTTTTATATATTACTTTGTTTAATTAGATTAATTTTTCTCTTAAAAATGGAGGCCAATTTTTCACTTAATTTAAAGGATAAGAATGCTTGTGATGATAACTATTTTAATGGAAAAAATTTAGAAAGCGAGTATTATTCAATTTCTGAATCTACTCAATATCTCTGTCAGAACAAAAATACATTTTCTATTTTAAATGTAAACATTCGAAGTATTAACAAAAATTTTGAAAACCTTCAACTTTTACTACATCAACTAAACCACGAATTTAAAATAATTTGTATCATAGAAACTTGGCTTAAAACCAACGAAAAAAATTCAAACTTTGAGTTAGGTAATTATGTATCAGTTCAACAACCACGTTTTAACTATGCTGGTGGTGGTATAAGTATTTTTGTCCACAAATCAATTAGCTTTATTCTACGTCCTGACCTCAATATTAATGAAACTGATTGTGAGTCATTGTGCATAGAAATTTTAAACAAAACCACCAAAAATATTGTAATTAACTCTATTTATAGACAACCAGCTGGTAATTTAAGAAAATTTAAAACTTATTTAAGCAGTTTTTTAACCAAAACTAGCATAACATGGAAACATGTTTACCTAGCTGGTGATTTTAACTTAAATTTACTAAATTATGCTTCAAATACAAATGTTCAACATTTTCTAGATACTCTTATAGAATATAACCTAATACCAACAATAAATAAGTCAACGAGAATAACTAAGACCTCATTGTCACTGCTTGATAATATAATTACTAACAATTTTCAAAACTTTCGTTTAGGAACAGGTATAATCAAAACTGATTTAACTGATCACTTTCCAATATTCTTAATTACTGATAACATAACCCTAAACAATGTCCCTTCAAACACTACAATCTTAACACGGCAGATCAGTGAAAACTCCTTATTGTATTTTTTAACTCTTATAACAAAAAATATCGATTTAAATGTTATTTTACAATCCCATGAAGTCAATACTGCATATGAGCTATTTTTAGCGCAATTCTGTAAACGGTAATGGGACGTTAAAGCGAAAAGTTTAAAAGCAAAAGCGTCAAGTGAAATCAATAACCGGTGTCACGTTAAATAAGTAGACAAAATCGTTAAATAAGTAGACAAAATGATATTCTGCGCATGCGTTAGTTTACGAATACTTATTTAACGTAGTAAGTCACGTTAAATAACTAGATCGTTAAATAAGTAGACAAATTGAACAATCAAGGCATTATTTGTTAACCCAGACAAATAAATTTAAAAAAAACGAACTAAAAGCATTTACTTAGTCCAGCGAATTGTTACTATTTTATGGCATTTTTAGAGTGATAATTTACCACTTTTAATATTATTTAACTCACGACATATATTCTAGTCGTATTTTATACCTTAATAGTATAGTATGACAAGTAACATATTTTTAAGAAAGAGGTTTTTTTTAGGTCATTAATGATATCAAATAAAATAGTCATCTCACAAGGAAGTTTAATATATTCCTAAATAATTTAACTGTGCATTTTAGCAAAATGTTTCACGTTAAATTATTTATCTTTATCCCTTAAGCATATCAATTGTAAAATTTGTAATTGCTACCTGATTCTACGCAGATAAATAGTAACAAAAGTATTCTGATGTTATCACAGAAAAAGAAGAGAATTTATTATTTCGTGTCAAGACTTTTTTTGTGTGTTAATTTACCTTCTCAAGGACGATTAAGCCACTCCAGTCGTGGAGGCTGCTTTAGTTCTGGTTACAACCCTCTCACAACTCTTTAACTCCGAAACACAAACCATGATGAACAAGACCGCTACGTGGAGAAACAAGTTGAACGCGGTAGTACCAGGGACGTGGTGGTGATCGAACTCAGAACTTCTCGATTATGAGGCGAGCGCTCTACCACTACACCACTACTGTACTACCGTTGAATAACAACCTAGACAGGTAATATTCGACAATTTTAGCGGTGTATGTATAGCACAATAATAATAAAATGTGACCTAAACTACTTAGTTTACTATTTCTTACTATGTGAATGTTTGAAATAAAAACGACATTAAAATAACGACACACTTCATGCTACACTAAAACTTTATTTTGAAAATAAGATCAAAATATCCTTACACAATATAAATAGCAAAATAAAATAACATGGTTTTTAAGTTCTTTTAAAAAATATCAACTTGGTTGAAACTTGGGCATTTTTGGAAGAAATTCGATTTTTCCACATGGAATTACAAGCCTATATAGTATAGAAATATATTAAAAATATATATAGTATCATAAAATCGCAACGAATAAAAAAAATAATAATAAAAGTACCTGCTTTTGTACCAGAAGAGTACTTAATAAATGCATTGATCAATATATGTCAATAAATTGATTTATAAAATGAACTCTAAATGTGTGCCAGAAGGATTTGAAATTATAAATCATATAAATGCTAAAAATGTTAAAACAACCAGGGTATCAACATGCCAGAATAGTCTATACTTTTACAATATTCTATAAAAAAATTGATCAAATATCTCATTATAATTAAAAATTACATAGCCATATTTTTAATTACTACTTTTGGTGTAGTTGTAATAGTAGCTATAGTTAACTGCAACCGCAACAAATGTATGTAAATAAAGAACTGTCTTTAATAACTGTACCTATTAATAATATCTTATATCAATAACCCTTGTTGATAAAATGAATAACTGATGACAGTAAGAAAAAAAAAACTACAAAGTGAGCAAAATAAATCATCATGCCAGTAACAAAATAAAGAACATGCACTAGTTGACCTAAATTAGCCAATTGTATAACATACACATCTATAAAAAAGTTACAAAAATAAAATAAGTAATGAACTTTTTAAATATTAACTAAAACATAAAGAAAGAATTAAAGAAAACTCTAGAAAAATTTGAACTTCGACAGTCCATTTTTCAATGATACTATCATTAACAAATAGCTTTTTTCAAAGCACTTTGTTAATTTCAAAGCATTTTGTTAACTGTTAATACCATTACCAGTTTAAACTCTGAACCTTTTTCTCATTGATTGGATTGATGACATAACCAGACTATATCAAATAATCTAAATTTGTAGAATTTTTTGAAGAGTATCAAAAATCTATAAAATAAAGTAGTTACATAAATTGTTATTTTTTCAGTATATTTACTTTAACAATCAGTAATTTTAATAGAACATTTTTTTCCAAGTTTTTTTAAACCAAGAGGTCCAACAAAGTCTAGGGGAAGTTTGAGTAAAAATGGTGAAACTAATACAATCATATCTCTACACTAATTACTTTGTATAAGTATATTGACTTATACTAATAAAATTCTATCAAGTAGAAGGGTTTAAAAAGTAGTGGCCATAGAACAATAAGCTTTTTTTGGACTGTACCAAGGGTCAATTTATGAAAATTAGGTTCAAACCCATAATAAATTTACGGTTGATTTAATCTTAGACTGTTTCTAATAAATATTTTTAGTAATACTTAATTGCAACACTTAAATATACCACAAAATTAACTAATAGTTTTAGGCAAAATTGACAAATAAGTCAATGCATAAAATGGAAGTCCCAAAACAACTGTAGGTTTTGAGATGCTGAGACATAGTACAATATTAACAGAAATATACAATAATATTGTATGTTTCAGAAGTTAATTTTGTACTGTCTCAGCATCTCAAAACCTACAGTTGTTGTTATTCAGAAACATATGTATTTTATAATATTGTATGTTTCTGAAGTTAGTTTTGTACAATGTCTCAGCATCTCAAAGCTTACAGTTGTTTTGGGACATTTATTGTGTATATACACAATAATAATAAACTCTTAAACATAAATTATATAAAAGTTTAACTTTTATATACACATACCACATACTGTTAATCATCTTCAACTGAGTAATTATAGACTGGCAATTTAATTATATAGTTTAAAAAAATTCAAAAATTTTATCATTTTTGTTTATATCTAAGCCTACTTATTTATATATAGTTTATACCTAGCGTAAACAAGGCTACTTATTTAACGATAGATTTAACCTACCTAACGGAAGCTTTACACCATATTTGCACATGCATGTCGCTTGCGCAGAACTGACTGTCTACTTATTTAACGATCTACTTATTTAACGCGACACCGAGAAATCGAGTATCGTAAATCACGAATCGTGATAAGAATATAAATTTTAATATATCAAAAAATAGTAAAGTTAGCAATACCAGAAATGAATTGCTCAATTAAGTTTATTGAAATCGGAAGAAAAACAGTTTATGCTGTTTTTCAAGAAAACATTTCCAGTAAAGATTCTTCGCGAAATGGTAAAGATTATTGAAGATGAACTTTGAATAGTATTGGTTGCAGAGCGAGAATTACCACACTTAATTGTGTATACTTGATGTCTTCCTCTTTCCACAATCACGAACCAAATAGTGCAGGAGTGCGTAAAAAAGAATTTTATGCAAAAGTTAGAGATGCTGTTAGAAAATCTTCAACAAACCTATGCAAAAGTTTAATAATATATATATATTTATATTATTAAAGTTTATTATTATTATTATTATATATATATATATATATATACATACATACATATATATATATATATATATATATATATATATATATATATATATATATATATATATATATATATATATATATATATATATACAGGCTTCGGCAGGAATGACGGGCTATAGCCCATGTCCGTCTCCGCACCCGTCTAAGTCAGTTTAGACGGGTGAAATAAAGCCCGTCTGAAACATAAGTTTTGTGTAAAAAAAAAGATGAATATTTTGATGTTTTTTTATTAAGATACTTTTTTAAAACTTCTCTCATGACATAATTTTAATATGGATAGCAAACTCCAACTTATAATTGTTTATATTTAAATATAAAAATTTAACAATTTAATCATTATTGTATAACATGATGTAGAAAATAATATAACTAAATCTTACAGTTTTTTAAACGACGATAACTGTTTGATATAATACCAAACAGTTACCATATTATGTTCAAAATTTAATAACTATTATATTAAATAGGGAATTATACACATGTGATGCACAAGAAGTATCATGTTGTTTTGGTTTTTCAATGTTTAAAATAATAACGATAATAAACTAATTATCCATGTATTTCGCTTTTTTCCGATAAACTAGTTTGTCTTGATTTAAAGACATTTAAAGTGATATTTCCGCGTTAACTACACGTTTTTTCTTAAAGAGACGGCGATTTATTTAATATGCAATTATATAACTCGTTATTGAAAATGAAATATCTCATTAAAAATCAACTAATCAATTTTTGTAGATAATATAAATAGTGTTGCTTTATAGTTATGAAGTTATTCAAGTTATCCAGTCATTCAAGTTTTTCAAGTTATTCAAGTTTTTCAGTAAAGATAGTAATGGCATCATCTGGTAGAAGAGTTACATTAGCAACATTTTTGAGTTGGGGTAAAGATGGAGTCTGTGGAAAAGAAACTGAGGTGGAGAATGGAACAATTTTTGTTGTGAAGATATGGTGTATGGTTTGTATAAAATATAAAAAAGAATTGCTTCGCGAGTTAAAAGGTCTGGCAAAATCAAAAGCATTAGCATTTATAGAGGGCACTACGAACGTTAAAGCTAGCAACATACATACGCTTATATACATGCTTATATTGTATATAAAGTAATGGAAGCCCCGGTATCTTAAGAAATTATTAGTACTTCTAAATAAAAACTTATTTTATTAAAAGAAATTAGATTTCAAATTTTTTATTCACGTATCAGAATAACTATTTCCGATCAGGATAGCCATAGGTAAAGCAAAGTTATAAAAATATAAATAACAGTTTAAGTTTTTAATTTGCACGCCCAATAGAATGCAAGAGTATATAAATAATTGAATTTGAAAAATAACATAGTTACGTATCATATTACTAAGCTAATACCAAACAATTCTAAAACTACCGAGCTCATTGATTCAAGGTTAAAAAAAAAAAGGTTTCAAACTATTTGCTGAATAATTAAAAAAATTAGATTTTAAAATATTATGTAATATTTTTATTCACAAAGAATAAGAGAAACGAATGAACTAAAAAAGCACGATAAAAACCTGTATAATTTAATCGAATACTTGAATAAAACAATAATATATAAATATACTCAAAAAGACTTCGGTAAAAAAACACGTTAGGATGCTTGAATAAGGAAACGTGATGAAACGCCATGGTTGTTTCGAGGATTTTTCCCGTCGTTTTCACGTTCATTCGTTTGACTATATCTGTCAGATATTATCTGGAATAAAGATTAAAAAAAAAAAACATAAAAAACTGAATAAAGTTCCTTCGAGTAAGAAATCTAAACAAAAACAACCATAAAACAACTAACCCACGTGAAACGAAATTAGATCTGTGCAAGTGAAAATTCTGAAAAACAATTATTGAAATCTTAGTTTTAAGTATTCTTCAACTCATTTACTGCAGTGTTTTAGTTACTTAAGTAATTAAGCATTTTAAACAGTTAATCGCTTTCTAACATATCATTTTAGTGCAATTCACAAAATGTTTAATATTCAATGACATTTTTATTCAAAAAGAAGGAGAGAAATTAACAAATTTAAAAAAAAAAAGTTTTAGAATTTTTTTTAAAGTTTAAAAAAGCCCGTGCAAGACTATCTAGACGGGCGGCCCTCATAGCCCGCCAAGTCTATTTAAGACGGGCTTTTCATAGCCCGTACGGTTTTTATTCCTGCCGAAGCCAGTATATATATATATATGCGGCAGTGGTGTAGTGGTAAGAGCGCTCGCTTTGTAAGCGAGAGGTTTGGAGTTCGACTCCCACCACGTCCCTGGAAGTACCGCGCTCAACTTAGTTTCTCCGCGCAGCGGCCTTGCTTGTCAAGGTTCGTGTTTCGGAGTTAAAGAGTTGAGAGAGGGTTGTACCACGAAATACAACAAAAAAATAAAAAAAAAAACACAAAAAAATGAGTAGCCTCCTCGACTGTAGTGGCCCCCTCGGGCCTTGGGGAGGTGAATAATGTAAAAAAAAAAAAAAATATATATATATATTATTAAAGTTTATTATTATTATTATATATATATATATATATATATATATATATATATATATATTAAAGTTTAATATATATATATATTATATATATATATATATATATATATTATTAAAGTTTATTATTATTATATATATATATATATATATATATATTAAAGTTTAATATATATATATTATATATATATATATATATATATATATATATATATATATATATATATATATATATATATATATATATATATATATATATATATATATATATATATATATATATATATATATATATATATATAATGAAAAGTAGCAAAAAAAGTCAGACTTTTAAGATGGAAACTAACATTTTATCTGTTAATATAAAAACTGTTTAAAAACTCAACTAAAATTAGGTATAGCTAACATCATCTGTTAATACATAAAATCACATCCTCAACTGTTTAAAACAAATCTGCAGTATTTATTTTTTACCATAATTACAGAAAAATTGTGCTTGATGATGCTTGTGGCTCAAATTTAGGTTTACGTCAAGAAGTTGTAGCTAATTTTCCACGTTACCAAGCTACAAAAGAAATTATCAAAAAGGGAAAAAGAGAAGTAGTTCCACCTCAACCATCTGATAGAAAAGATTTAATTCTTGAGCTAGAATGGGAATTGACTTCCAACGGTAATATTTTTTTATTGAAAAATAATTGATGTGAGGATAAAATTCTTATATTTGGAACTGTAGTTTTTCTTGAACGCTTATGTCGTTCAAAAATGTGGTATATGGATGGAACATTTAAATCATCACCAAATTTATTTACTCAACTTTACATGATTCATTGCTTCATGTCCGATCAGATGTTTCCTATTTTATACTGTTTGTTGCCTGATAAAAAGGCAATAACTTATGTGAGGTTGTTTAACCTAATAAAAGAAATAATTTTGAGTAATACTTCTTTGTTTTATTTTATTATTGTGGGGGCATTTGCATTTATTACAAGTTTTAACATATTCAATATCATTATAAAGTTACTTTTTTTTAATTTAATAAAATACTTAATAAAAGTTAACTTATTTATAGAAAATGACATGGAAAGTGAAGTTTCATGGTTTTTAATTGATTTTGAATCAGCAGTTGTATCTGCATTAAATATAACTTTCCCAGGAGTGACAGTTCGCGGATGTTTTTTTCATTTTGGGCAGGCAGTATGGAGGAAGGTTTGTGTTATTTAATTAATTAAAATAGCATTTAAGCTTTTTCATTTTATCTTAATATCATCTATTATTTGTATTTGTATAGCAATAATATAAAAACCTATCTGTTATTCTCAAAGGTACAAAATTTAGGTGTAACAAGTTTTTATGACAATCAAGATGTGAAAAAGCTTGTTCATCGTCTTGCTGCATTGCCACTTGCAGACCCTAATAGATATGCAGAACTTTGGGAAAAAATTAATCATAGTGCACCTAATATTAATGGGATTGCAGATTTATTGCTATATTTTTATAATACTTGGCTCTCTCCAAATGCCTTTTTTCCTTACCATATATGGAATCATTTTGAAAATGATGGTCCCAGAACTACAAATCATGTTGAAGGTAAAACATATTTTATAAAAGTTGCTTCAACAGGGATAATTATTAATTGGGAATATGAAATACTTACTTATAAGCTTTACACATAGTACTATTATTTTATTGTGCAGGTTGGCATAATGCTTTTCATAGCGAAACGAATAGGCGAATATCTCCTAACATATATGAATTTATTAAAAGTTTAAAGCTACATCAAGCTTATAATGATGATGAACTTGACGAATTGGAATCAGGTCAACCAGCTAAAAAATAAAAAAAAATAAAAATTAAATATAATAAATATAATAAAAAAATTCTCAACCTAAGACAGTCAGCAAGAGAAGGGTAATTGTCTTGGATTCAGTTCATAACCATAGCTGGTTATAAATTAAAATTACAGGGATGAATAATGCATATGTTTTATCTAACAACTTAAATAATTTTTATCAGATATAAGATTATTAGTGATGTACCAATGAAAAGGGCTGATTGCAGCTAATAATAAGGTTTAGTGTATGTGTGTTAAGGTATAATATCAATATTTGGTGTATAATTTGCATATATTTAAAGAGCATAGACACCAGTGCCAATTAATTGATCAATCCTAATTGATTGGTTATTGTTAGCTTAGGTAAAGTGATATATATATATATATATATATATATATATATATATATATATATATATATATATATATATATATATATATATATATATATATATATATATATATATATTTGGTATTAAATACACTGTTATAATTTATGTTTTTATGTGTCAAATTTAAAGCATATAATTATTTTGATAATTATTTTAGTGATTTTGAGTTGTTATATTATAGATTATTTTGCATATGAATTTTACTTTATTTTTAATTGTTTACCTTTTTTATTAGTCCAGTAGTTGTAGTTTAGAATTATTTATTTGATATTCTAATTAAGAGTTATAGTTACAGTTTATTAGATTAAATAAATAGATAAAACTTATTGTATTTAGTTTAGAATTATCTATTTATTTGGTATTCTAGCTCAGAGTTATAAGTACACATAGAGTTTATTAGATTTAATAAATAAAAAAACTTATTGTATTAAATTTAAAATTATTTATTTATTTAGTATTCCAGCTCAGAGCTACAGTTACACTAGAGTTTATTAGATTAAATAAATATAAAAACTTATTGTATAAAGTTTAGTATTAGTTATTTATATGATATTCTAGCTCAGAGTTATAGTTACAGTTAGAGTTTAATCAATTAAATAAATAAAAAACCTATTGTGTTTAGTATAGAATTATTTACTTATTTGTTACTGATTAAGAGTTATAGTTAAAAGCTTTTGTAGGTTAAAGTTCCTTATAGAATAGTAAGAACTAATTATATATTCATCCTGTAATACTATGTTTGGACCATGCTTGCTCTATTTGGCATACTGTACTTAGATCAGTTTATTTAAAAAAATATATATTACCTAAAGAATTTTTGGAGCACTTAGGAACAGTTACAATTAACGGGTAATATTTAATTGAATGACGAGTAACAGAAGAATGAATTTTAGTAGACAGCACAATAGACGCTAACTCTTTAGAGCAGCACCCATTATAGTATTTATAGAAAAGGAATATAGAACCAACATTACGGTGATGTGGTGATGGTTGAAGGTTGGCTGCAAGAGCATATCTAACTATGTTTACAATGCATTTTTGTACCTAAAAGAGAAAGGACATCATTCTAAGTTCTGCTTCAGATATTGCATCAATACTTCATACAAAGATGGATTTGAGATTTATAGAGTTAAAGAATAGAATCCGGATTAAGAATTATGATTAAGAATCCGGATTAAGAGAGTCATGAAAAGGATAAAGAGATTCAAGCAGATGCTAATTTTGCAATTGATTTCACATTAGGTTTTGGAGAAAGATCCAAGAAGTAAGAGTTGATCCGCAAAGTCGAAAGGTAAATGACTTATTAGGTTGATTGCCGTTAAAAATTGATTTTCCTCGCAGTTACAATTCACCAGCTACTGAAGGTCTTATTCTGCCGCAAAAAGTTAAGTTTAATTGTTAAGTTTAGTTTAAGTTTTATGACATTTGTCAGCTGGACAAAAAAATTTTACTTAAGGGCCAGCGCAAAGAAGATCAGGAAAGAATCCCAGTCAGCTTTCAGGGACTCTGAGCAAAGCTAACTCAGAATAGTGCAAAAAAGGTATAAAATTTTCCATAAATATTAATTTTCCATAAATATTAATTTGCAACTTATCTAATAAAAAAAGATGTGCATATATTATATTATTTCTTTTTAATTTCTTTTTTTAATTAACATTTGAAGCAAAAGATTGTTCTTTTTTTTAAATAAAAAATAACAATAGAATTAAAAAGATGCAAATTAATGTCATTTTACTTTTGATCAGGTATCGTGAGTTGGGCTGTTTTCCCTTGATACTTTTAGAAATAATGAGATATTTAAACCTCAAGAATTGATGTTAAAATTTTGAGTCATAAACTAAAAGTTGGGGCAAATATATTAACACAACATAACTAAACAAGAGAAATATAAAGGTTTGTAATATAAATTTTTATCTAGTAGATAATAATATATAAATATCATTATTTATATAAATTAAGACAAATTTTTATCACTTTATGTTTATCAAGCGGATCACTTACTCTTACGCTTATTATTTTTTATAGGAAACCTTTATAAGTTCTTTGGGGAAAGAAAAAGTGTTTACAATAAACAACACTTGAAGTATAAATGCCAAATTGGTGGTGTGCAAAGGCCTTATAAAGACCTTATAGTTTGCTGTGTATAGTGTGCTAAAATTCAGTCTTTCAATATATTCTCAACTTATGATATGTTATTAAATTTATAAGCATACATCAATGAAAACATCTCTATAAATATTTATAAATATCTTATCTCTATAAATCTTAAATTCATCCTTGCATGGAACAGTTTTGTGATATCTTAGGCGGATCTTTCAGTGATCCCCTTTCTCTATTAGAGAAGGTGCAAAAAGGAATTGTTTTTGCATCTTGAACTGCTCTTGCAGTCGAGAAGCTGTTCTTGCATCAACCTCCAACCATTATAAATTTATTGTAATGTTGCTTCTCTTTTTGTTTTTTTTATTACTTTATTGTAATGTTGCTTCTCTTTTTCTAAGTAATGCAAATGTAGAAATAAAAACTTTACTATACCTAGTTCACAAACAATTCATAACATAATTAATAACAATAACAAATCATTTAGTTAAAATATAAAAAATAAATAAGTTTCTCACCAACCGATCATCGCGATTGAAAATTGTTAAACTAATTAGCCAAGCACACTTTATAAGCCTTTTTCCTTTAAGCAGAATCTTTTTCACAATAAATGACTGAATTTTTAATTTTACAAGCAAACAATCCAAAAAACATTATGCATAATAACTTTTGGATTATGGGCATGTTTCTATACTACAATAAAACACATGAACTGCCTTAAAAAAAACTTCTAGGCATCAACCAAGAAAAATCCACACAGTTATAAATCTTTATATTTGAAATGTTCTAAAAAATAAAAACAACCACAATACAAAATAAGAAGGTAGTCAAAAAAAAAAAATCTTCTACTAACTCTTGTAAAATTAATTATAAATAACTTTGACACAAAAATATTACTGAAATGCAACATGTAGGAAATAAAAGGACACTGCAGCTTTCTGTTTACGGAACAAATCAATTGAAAACAACATCATAGAAAAAATAGTAGCCAAATAAAATTTCTAAAAAGTGCAGCAAGATATTTCAAGTGTAACAACATTGATCAAGATAATGCCATATATAATAATCATAATATATGCCTCTATATTATAGAGACTTATATTGTGATTTTTGGCTTCTAGACTATAAGTCAAAAATTAGGCAAATACAACATATAACAGTCATTTTTGACACAGGCTCTGAGCTATTATTCATTTTTTTAAAGTGTATGTCTGATAACAACATTATTTTTAACACAAATATTAAAAAAATTCACTTTGTCTTTCAGATAGTTCACCAGTAAATATAACTGGCCGATATGATGGCGCATAAAAGAGAACCACTTCGAACTAAAGTTTTTGTGTGAAAACAACTAGTTTCAACTTTTATCATTGGTGTAATCACTCAACTTTTACACTTTGTTTTGGAGCAAAACTCTAAACAATTAAATTTTGCTTTATCTTCTATAAAGTATAAACTTAATGAACTTATTTCTGAAATTGAATCACTGCAACTGTAACACCTTTAAGATGATACAATTCAAAGAAAAAAAACACTGTCTTCATTAATAATTAAGTTGTCAAAGTCCCATGAAGAGTTCCATGCTTTTAATCGATTTCTCTAAATCTGTAAAAATACCTAGTCTTCTGTCTTATTCTTGTCCTAGAATAGACCTTTAAAAAAATCTTTAAAAATTAGCAATTTTAATATAAATAGTTAATTGCGTTTCTTTTTTAATTATTAACTCATATAAAAATAATGACATTTTTTAATAACATTGGTTTTTATTTTGATAACCAATACTATTGAAAAAATTTTCTCGCTTAACCCATCCCGTTCGCTTTTAACTTTTTCGCTTTCCCAACCTTTCGCTTTTAAAATTTTCGCTCTTAAAAGTTTCGCTTTAAAGACACCGAACCCTGTAAACAGTATGACATAGCATTTCCTGTTAAAAAAATTGTTATAAAATCCAAGTCTCTTTCAAACCCCTGGATGACCAAGGAATTAATAAAATCATCATAAAAAAAAAAAAAAACTTTATGATAAATATTTAAGACATAAAACGTATAAAAATGAAATAAACTACAAAAACTATAAAAAGTTATTTGAAAAAAACAAAAAACATTCAAAAAAAAATTTTTATACAAAGTTGTTGGAAAAAACTAACGGTGACACTAAAAAAACGTGGAGTATAATTAAACAAATAATTGGTAAAAACAAATGTGAAAAAAATAATCTCCCACAAAAGTTTTTAATTGATGGGGAAATGATTTACGATAAAAAAAAATATCTAAAGAATTCAACTTATTTTTCTCGAAGTAGGGCCGAACTTGGCGAGTAAAACTCCGTCAAGTACCACAAAGTTTGAATCTTATATTAAATCATGTAATTCTATTATGGAAGAATATAATTTAAATCGAAGCGAAATAAGGAGTGCTTTCAACAGTCTTAAAAGTAATAAAAGTGCGGGCATTGACAAAATGAATGTTGATAAGTCAGTCTTCGATATCATTGAACCGTCACACAGTGGGGTATTTG